CCTGCGAGCAGTTTGGAGGTGCAAGATACCTGAGCGTGTAATGTTAATTTTACCTGTGATCCTTTGAATAAATCAGCACTGTTTTGAAGTTACTTGGACTGTCTCGTCTCTCAGAGTTAGCAATGGTAACAAGAACTGAAGACCAACAATACGAAACTTCAGTTCAACACCGACAAGGCGTGCAGTATATTAGAGCATAAATTCGAGATTTGTGTCATGCTGCTAGACTGCTGGTCTGACACTACATAATACTGTTGGAGTTACACAAATTGTCATGCAGGGTGTACATGATTTACTGCAACACGACATACTACTTTTACAGGTTTGCTGTCCTTGTCAGCAGCTCAGAGCTGTGCGGTCCATTATAGTGTTTATCCCCTCATTTTCAGAGGTTGTTTCTGTTGTTTCTGCTGACTCTATGGAAAAGGCAGCAGCGACACTCTGTTGTACTACTGCTTCTCCAGACATGGTTAGAAGCTTTTTATAGATTTACAGTTTACAGAAGAGTATGTGACATGAGTGGGAGTAATATTTGCTCACTTCAAACAGTCAGGACGCTTAGTGCATGGAAATTCTTCGGAAAGGTCTGTTAGGGTTCACTCAAAAAATAGTTTAGATTGCTGGCATGGTTCTGCTGTTACAGTTTCTTTAGTAATACAGCAGTATTGCAAACAAGTAGCTAATCACCCTTTAGAAAATAATCAAGAAATGACGGCACTCCATTAAGCATACTGTTAACAGCAAGCTGACAAATGGATGGAGGAGAGTTTTACAGCAGTGAGATACAAGTTACCTTTCTTACATTCACAATGTGAGCATGAAGGCCTTTAAAAAGGAAGAAGTGACAGGTTCCTCTGTTTGCTTTGTACAATGCATTGTGGGAAAACAGTGCATAGTAACAGAATACTCAGAAATCAAGTGTATTTAGGATGCAGATATTTGTGAGTACACTTCATTGTCACGTGTTCAGCTTGGATGCACTTTGATCTAAAAAAAACACTCAGAATATGTAGTGCGGAGTTTGGCTGTTGCACTTCACCTTTCTGACAGCAGGAGGCGCTCACGTTCCATGATTGAGTGGTGATATGCTGAAGGTATGAGGACCATAGCTAGTGAAGCAAGCAGTAGGTTGCATCCTGATGTAATGTTCTCTGTATCATCCTGCCAGAAAAAGATTGCTGAGTCCCCAGCCGCAGTTTCAGGTTGGGTGACAGCTAGGGTTCTCCCTCTCTTGGCCAGGTGTCACCCGCTGATGCAGGGCTCAGGTGGAGTGTGGCATTCAGAGAGGGCAGAAAGTCACAAGTGCTAGTCACAA